CAAGATGGTCTTGATCTCCTGACCTCATGATCCGCCCGTCTCGGCCTCCCAAAGTGCTGGGATTACAGGCTTGAGCCACCGCGCCCGGCCCTTTTTTTTTTTGTTTTTTAAACGGGATCTCACTGTTGCCCAGGCTGGAGTACAGTGGTGTGATCATGGCTCACTGCAGCCCCCAACTCCTGGGCTCAAGCAATCCTCCCACCTCAGCCTCCCAAGCAGCTGGGACTACAGGCATGTACCACCATACCTGGCTAATTTTTTAAAAATTTTTTGTAGAGATGAGGTCTCACTATGTTGCCCAGGTTGATCTCAAACTCCTGGGCTCCGGCGATCCTCCTGCCTCAACCTCTAAAAGTGCCGGGATTATAGGCCTAAGCCCCCATGCCTGGCCCACAGTCCTTTCTTATAGATAAAGAAAGAGGCTCGTAAAGGGGCAAAGTAGGTTATTGAAAGTTATGTGAGGGGTAAGTGGTGAAATGTTCTTTCCACAGTGTCCCCTTTCTTTTTTCTTTAGACCTAGTCTCGCTCTGTCACCCAGGCTGGAGTGCAGTGGTACAATCTCAGCTCACTGCAACCTCTGCCTCCCAGGTTCAAGCAATTCTCCCAGCTCAGCCTCCCAAGTAGCTGGGACTACAGGCGCACACCACCACACCCGGCTAATTTTTGTATTTTTAGTAGAGATGGGGTTTCGCCATGTTGGCCAGGCTGGTCTCAAACTCCTGACCTCGTGATCCACCCACCTCAGCCTCCCAAAGTGCTGAGATTACAGGCGTGAGCCACCGAGCCTGGTGTGTCCCCTGCCTTTCCTAGAAAACTAGAGAACAAGGGCAGGGACCCATGGACCTGGCTGGGGGGAAGTTGTGGAGGAGAATGAATGAATGATAGAAAGCACCAGCATTTTTGGGGACCAACTCTATGCCCAGTAGGGTGCTAAAATGGCATGTAAATTAATATTCAGTCCTCCCAACCATCCTGGATCTTGACACTGTTATATCCCTGTTTCATAAAGGAGACACTAAGGCTCAGAGAGGCAGATGATTTCCCAAGGTCACACAGCCAAGAAGGGATAGAGTCAGGTTTCATCTAGCTCCAAAAGCAGAGATCTTTCCCCTCAACCCCATTGCCTCTCTTGGTGCTGAAAGAAATGGAAAAGGCTCTATGTGAATTCAGGGTCAGGGTAGAGTAGCAAAATGTGGGAAAGTGAGGCAGATTGCGACAGCTCCCATCACTCTGAAGTTGCTCCGAAATAACAAGGAGCTGGCACTGAGAGCAGAGCACGTGGTGCTGCTGCAGGGGATTCAGTGAGAAAGAAGTAGAGGCTGGGAGAGGAGGCTCATGCCTGTTATTCCAATACTTTAGGATGCTCAGGCAGGCGGATCACTTGAGCTCAGGAGTTCAAGACCAGCCTGGGCAACGTGGCAAAACTATGTCTCTACCAAAAATCAAAAATTAGCTGGGCGTGGTGGCCCTTATGTGTAATCCCAGCTACTCAGGAAGCTGAGGTGGGAGGATCGCCTGAGCCTGGGAGGTTGAGGCTGCAGTGAGCTATGATTGTGCCACTGCACCCTAGCCTGGGTGACAGTGAAACACTGTCTCAAAAAAAGGAAAAGAAAGTAAAAAGAAAAGAAAAGCAAAAGAAGCAGAAAGAAACTTTGCCCTTTGGGGAGTTGGTGACTGAGTCCAGGGGTAACCTTCCAGTCAAAGAAAGCTCCTCTTACAAGGAGGTAGTCCCTGCTTAGTTACCACCAGTTAGCCCCCTAGGCTTGCTGAGGGCATGTTCTGAGCCCAGCACTGGGCCAGGAGGGCTGCAGACACACCCTGCCGCATCCAGAGGGGTTAGCCAGACAGTGTCTGGTGGAGCCACAGTGTCAGAGGCTAGAAGGGGGGCTGTGGTGGCATGGGGAGCCCAGGGCACGCCGCCTGGGGGCCAAGCCTAAATCCTGACTTGTTATTACTGAGCCCCCGGGCTGTCCTACAGCCCACCACGCAGGTCCTCTGTCCTACAGAGGCAGTGAGTTCTGTCTGCCAGTTTTATTATCTGTGTGCATCCCCTGCCAGCTCAGAAATGGGTCTCACGTCTACGTTTTGTGTAATGGTTCCCAACAGAAAACATTCATTAGAGTAAAAAGTGAAGACAGTTAGGGCTCTATGTCCTTCCAGTCCTGGAAGAGGTGGCAAAGATTCTGAAGTTACATCTGTAAGAGAAAAAACTTTTTGGAGTGTGGTACGGGATCTTGCTATGTTACCCAGGCTGGACTTGAACTCCTGGGCTCAAGGATCCTCCCGCCTCAACCTACTGAGTAGCTAGCTGCAGGTATGTGCCATTGTGCCTGGTTTATAAGAAAAAACATTTTTAATGATGACTTCCCCCGACATGCCCAAGTTGCAAGGCATCTTGGCAGGACAGCTTGAGTCACTCTCCTGCCTGTGCGGTTACAGCCCACACAGGGAGACTTGCAGAGGCAGGCGTGGGATAGAGTCTTTCCCGTCCATTCTATGAGGGTACAGGCTCCAACAGGGAGATGTGAACAAAGGGACCCAGCAGGGGCCTGCCTGGGCAGGACAGAGGTAGAAAGCAGCAGGGCAGGAGGAGCGGGAGACATGGGAGCTGGATTTAAGAGCTGTTCACTCGCAATCAAACGCTACTCACTTAAATGAACCAGAAGACCTCTGAGTGGCAAGTAGCTGTCACAAAGCCCATGCATTTTATTCCAAAGAGAGACAGGCACTCACCCAGAACAACTGTGTGCAGAAGGGCTTATCTTATAAGCAACAGAACAGAACACCTTGATAGCCACAAGAAGTGACAACTAACAACAGAAAATGACCACTCATTTGATCAACATTGCATGCATTGCTTCCTGCGTGAGTTTAAATACCTTGTTAGGCCAGGTGAGGTGGCTCTCGCCTATAACCCCAGTGCTTTGAGAGGCTGAGGTAAGAGGATTGCTTGAGCCTAGGAGTTGGAGACCAGCCTGGGCAACACAGTGAGACCTCATCTCAAAAAAATATTTTTTTATTAGCCAGGTGCAGCTACTCGGGAGGCTGAGGTGGGATGGTCACTTGAGTTCAGGAGGTCAGGGCTGCAGTGAGCTGTGATTGTACCACTGCACTCCAGACCGTGTGATGGAGCAAGACCTCTCTCCATAAATAAATAAATAAATAAATAAATAAATAAAGTTCAGGTGCTTAGGGCAAGAATCTTCAGTCATTTACAGCATTCTCCTGACATGAAACTCTTGCTTGTCTTTCCCCATAAAAATCTGCTTGGGAAGGAATCATAGGAAGGGTGGACCCTTGAAACTTACTTAGAAAGCCACAGGCGACAGGTCTCGAGGTATAGACAAAAAGTGGGTTGGGACTGTCTCCTGCACACTGCAGCCCCAGGGAGTCTCCAAGCTGATCTCACCTTGTGACACATACAGTCCCTCTTCAGACCCATACTGAGCTCTCTATTGCCCCGCAGAAGAACGTGCACAGCCTCCTATTGCTCTCCTGGCAGCCAGCCCTCCACTCCCAGCCTCATCTCTCACCAGCCGCCGCTCATATACTCCCCACCCTCCAGCTACACTCAACTGCTGTGTGATGTTGAGCAAGTCTCCTCCCCTCTCTGAGCCTCAGTTTCCTTACCTCTAAAATGAAAGTTTGGGCTGAACCTCCCTAAAGTCCCATCTGGACTCAGAGTGACAAAGGCCGTAATGAGTCCACTAATCTTGCTCCTTCTGTCCTCTCTCTTTGAAGATGACACCAAGTCGAATCCCTATGCAGGAGGAGATGGTGAGTACAGAACCACCTGCCCTCAGCGTCAGACCCAGCGCCTCTTGGACCCACCCCAGAAGAGGGTGCAGCAGTTGCCTGCACTATTTTTATGAGTGCGGAGAGGGAGCAACTGCAGCCTGAGCATCCCAGACCTTCTGCTGGGTGGGGAGGCAGGGGTGCTTCTGGGTACAGGTGCCCTAGATTGAAGGAACATGTCTACCCGACATTTCTCACCTCAGCCATGAACCTCCTGTGGTTCTTCTCCTGGCTCTCTGCCCTTGAATATTCACTGCCCAGAAAGGAGTGGGAGGAGGGGAAGGACTGAGCCAGGGCAGGCATGGGTAGGGCCTGTGGCCATCCCCTCCGATCCCCACGGGCTCATAGTCAGCAAGGGGTGGAGAGCAGCTTCTTTCCTCACTCAGGCTGGCAGAGGACATAAAATGGTCCACTACAATTTTTGCAGGGTACCAGAAGGTAGGACTCACTGCAGCCTCCTAGGATTACCTAGAAGGATAATCTCCTTTCTGAGGGTGGGAGCTGCCCCCACCTCCCCTGCCCTTTGCCCAGAGCCAGCTCAGGCCTTTGTTGCAACCTGTGCAAGAGTAGAGATGAAAGTGCCTTCCAACCCCAGGGCTGGAGATTGTCATCTGGGCTTCCAGCAGGAGAGGAAAGATTATTAATGCAGCACAGTGTGATGGTGTCCCCCAGCAGAGATGGAGCCATTGCTCCTCCATAGGCAGTGGGTGTGAGAGTGTGTGTGTGTGTTGTGGGGGTGGCTGGGCCATAATCCCCTCACTCTACACCATGTGCTCATCAGCAGAAGCCCTCATCATCAAATCATCAGAGCCACTGCAGGCTGCGGGCTGATTGCCATCCAGGTCAGGGGAGGTTCACTTGGGGCATTTCACCTCAGTCCTCCCACGTGTTGGCAGACAGAGGCCCTAGCCATGCCCTGGAGTGCCCCAGGAGAGTTTCTCTCCTGGGTGTCCTCTGCTTACAGAGTGCAGAGTAGAGCAAAGGGGATGGGGAGGACAATGATTTTGAGTGCATGCAACATCCCATTAAAACTCGCCACCCCTAGCTGCCTTCCAACCCACCCACTAGCTGTGTAGGAAGAATGCAACATTTTTGTTGCCAGCCTGCTCATCTGTCTTCTCTACCTCATTATCTCCACATTCCTTTAGGATAGGGTAAAGAGGCAAATAGCCACCCCAGGTAGTGTCAGGCAACTAGGTTTTTTAGGGGTGGGCACTGAATTTGTGTGTCTGTGGGGAAATCACTTAACCTCTCTGTTATTTCCATCACCTCAGTCATGCACGAAAGGGGTTGAGCTTCCAGCTCTGTGGAAAATACTCTCTCCCCCGGGATGTATTTCAAATGCCTAGGATGTTCTCAGAGAGTGCCTGTTGGCTTATTGGCTTCCAGAGGACCTACATCATTCCATATACTTTCTTGGAGCTTCTCTGACGGGCCTGCCAGTTTTTTTGTTTTGTTCGAGATGGAGTCTCACTCTGTCGCCCATGCTTGAGTGCAGTGTCACGATCTCGGCTCACTGCAACCTCCGCCTCCTAGGTTCAAGCTATTCTCCTGCCTCAGCCTCCTGAGTAGCTGTGACTACAGGAGTGTGCCACCACACCTGGCTAATTTTTGTATTTTTAGGAGAGATGGGGTTTCACCATGTTGGCCAGGCTGGTCTTGAAATCCTGACTTCAGGTGATCCGCCTGCCTTGGCCTCCCAAAGTGCTGGAATTAGAGGAGTGAGCCATCACGGCCAGCCCCTGCCAGTTTTTCTAAAAGCTGAGGACACAGAGTTGAATAAGACATCATCCTTGCCCTCCAAGAGGTCACAATCTGGGAGTGGACAGTGATAGGAAAAACTATGGTCATTTGCCATCATAATAGCTAATACTTATTGAAGTCATCCAAAATGGGAGACATGGTCCTCAGTGCTTGACATGAATCATGTCATTTTAACCTTCACAATAACCCCATTAGGTGGGTATTATTATCCTTGTTCAACAGAAGTGATAATGAAGACAGAGAAAGGTTAGATAATTTGCACAAGGTCACACAGCTAGTAAGTGGCAGAGCATAGATTTCAATCCAGGCAGCCAGATTTCAGATCCCAAACTCTTAACCCTCAGATGCCCTTTGTGAATTCCTTAATAGCACTTATGTAGTGGCACAGATATCAGAGAGAACTTCTCTTATGATCCTTATTAGACATTTGGGGCAACTTTTAGGTGATTTTGGAAAACTACCCAGATGGCGTCAAGCACAACATGAATGCCTTACTCATAATGATTCCAACTCCCACCCAACCTCTTCCTGTATTTGATACGTGGACCCAAAGGCTCTGTCGGCTTTCATCTCTGAGACTTTGTTAGAACCCAAGACCCCATGGTTCCACCTTCCCTGCTCCCCTGCAGCCCCTGCCTGCCCTAATGATCTCTCCACAGGCCTTCAGAACAACCTGTCCCCCAAGACCAAGGGCACCCCTGTGCACCTGGGCACCATCGTGGGCATTGTGCTGGCAGTCCTCCTCGTGGCGGCCATCATCCTGGCTGGAATTTACATCAATGGCCACCCCACATCCAACGCTGCGCTCTTCTTCATGGAGGTCCGTGTCATCTGTGGCCGCAGGGCTGGCTGCCATCCGCTTCTGCGTCAGCGTCTCCTGGGCCATTTGTTCCCTGCCTCTCCCCTTCTCCCTCTCCCCTGCCACATACCTGAGAAGACCTCATCCACCCCATCCTGACACATTTCGAGATAGCTGGCGCCCATTAAGTCCTGCACCCTGAGAAATCAGCACCTCAGAACTCCCTCGGCCCTCCTGTCCTGTGGAACAACCCCTCTGCTTTTGTTCCCCCATTCGTGAAATCAGAAAAGAATCCCCGGAGGAAAGAAAGAAGGCCACAGTGCCACACAGTGCCCATCTAGTGGCTGTGCAGCCTATCTCTAGTGATTTATGGTCTCATGCCCAAATGCCAGGCTCAGTTCTTACTCAAAGCCATGATGGAACCAGGGTCTCTGCCTCTTTTGCCTACTGATACCTGCCTTTAAGGTTAAAATTGAGGGGCACGTGCAGTGGCTCCTTCCTAAGATCCTAGCACTTTGAGAAACCGAGGCAGGATTACTTGAGCACAGGAGTTTAGAGACTAACCTGAGCAACAGAGCAAGACTCCGTCTCTACAAAAATTTTTAAAATTATCCCAGCATGGTGGCACGCACCTGTGGTCCCAGCCACTTGGGAAGCTGAGGTGGGAGGATCCCTTGAGCCCAGTGGTTTGAGGCTGCAGTGAGCCCTGATCATACCACTGCACTCCAACCTGGGCGATACAGGAGACCCCATCTCTAAAATAAAAATGAAATAGACAAGTGAAATAATGATAAGAGCTGCCCTCTGAGAGCTTTAGTTGAGGATGCTAAGTTTTGAACGTCTCATTTCTGAAGAGCCAGCCTGAGGGGCAGCATGGGATGTGAGGCTCAGCCTCCTTCACTTGGGGCCGCAGAGCTCAGCAGCTCCTGCCCCCAATCCTCCACTTCTGGCTTCTAAAGTTCCCCACAGGGTGCAGCAGTGGTGCCTCTGTGACCCTAGTCTCCTCCACGTGGGTCACGAGCCCACCAGCCTCATTACCCACAGGCCTAGGTCGTTCCCCCAATTTCTTTTTCTTTTTCTTTTTTTTTTTTTGAGATGGAATCTTGCTCTGCCACCCAGGCTAAAGTGCAGTGGCATAATCTCGGCTCACTGCAACCTCTGCCGACCGGGTTCAAGCGATTCTCCTGCCTCAGCCTCTTGAGTAGCTGGGATTACAGGCACGTGCCACCACACCTGGTTAATTTTTGTATTTTTAGTAGAGACGGGGTTTCAGCATCTTGGCCAGGCTGGTCTTGAACTCCTGACCTCCTGATCCACCTGTCTCGGCCTCCCAAAGTGCTGGGATTCCAGGTGTGAGCCACCATGCCCGGCCCTAATTCCCCAGTTTCTTAGGAAGCTTAGCCATTCTGAAGTCTTAGCCTACCTGGGTAACACCTGGGAACTGCAGATCCCCAGGCCACAGGGATTCTGATAGGGCAGGTCTAAGGCAGGCCCAGGAATCTGCATTTTATTTATTTATATTTGAGAGTCTCACTCTGTCACCAAGGCTGGAGTGCAGTGGCACAATCTTGGCTTACTGCAGCCTCTGCCTCCGGGGTTCAAGCAATTCTGGTGCCTCAACCTTCTGAGTAGTTGGGACTACAGGCTTGTGCCACTACACCCAGCTAATTTTTGTATTTTTAGTAGAGACGGCGTTTCACCATGTTGGCCAGGCTGGTCTTGAGCTCCTGGCCTCAAGTGATCTGCCCACCCTGGCCTCCCAAAGTGCTGGGATCACAGGCATGAGCCTCCGCACAGGCCAGAATCTGTATTTTAATAAGCCCCCTGTTGACTCTGATGTGGACCCTGTGCTACCTTGGAGGGTTATCTTGGCATTTCCTCAGGCATCATTCCAGCCATCTCTGAGCCATTTCCTCACATTGCAGTCCCAGGTCTCCACTTGGTGTATTGCTGAATATTTTAGCTATGAGTTCTACAGACCACGCAGTGAAAGATAAAGTGTCCTCCTTCCACACTCTAGCTTCCGGCAGGTTTCCCAGTGGTTGGGGGATCACAGCAGGGAACATTTTAGGGAGAGGGTCCCTGAAGGTCAGTTGTGTGGCTCCTGGTAGGCCCCAAGTGCCCCAGGGCCCTTGTAAGAGAGAGCCTTCGTTGGCTCTGTCGCTCAGGAGTGTGGGGTCCCCATGGTGGGGGCATGCCCGCTGACTTTGCCTCTGTGCCTTCTGCAGCGTAGACCTCACCACTGGCCAGCCATGAAGTTTCGCAGCCACCCCGACCATTCCACCTATGCAGAGGTGGAGCCCTCGGGCCATGAGAAGGAGGGCTTCATGGAGGCTGAGCAGTGCTGAGAACACCAGGTCTCCCTTGTGAAGACTTTGAGACCACAGAAAAGACAGTTAAAGCAAAGAAGAGAAGTGACTTTTCCTGGCCTTTCCCAGCATGCCCTGGGCTGAGATGAGATGGTGGTTTATGGCTCCAGAGCTGCTGCTCGCTTCGTCAGCACGCCCCGGATGTTGAAGAGGGGGCCAAAAAACAACCACATGGATTTTTTATAGGAACAATAACCTAATCTCATCCTGTTTTGATGCAAGGGTTCTCTTCTGGGTATTGTAACCATGAAACAGCAGAAGAACTAACATAACTAACTCCATTTTTGTTTAAGGGGCCTTTACCTATTCCTGCACCTAGGCTAGGATAACTTTAGAGCACTGAGATAAAACGCAAAAACAGCAACCATGCCATTTGCAAAACTAACTCTGGGATTAAAGGGGAAGCATGTAAACAGCTAACTATTTTTGTTAAAGATTTATAGGAACGAGGAGGAGGTTTGGCTGTTGTCACATGAGAGACTGTTAGCCAACGACAAGGAAGTTCTGCAAACCTCCCCTGGACCCTTGCTGGTGTCCAGATGTCTGCGGTTGTCAGCCCCTTCCTTTCCCCCCGACCTAAACAGAAAAGACAAGGCAAAACCCACATAATTTTAAGACAGTTCTTTAGGACATTAGTCCACCATCTTCTTGGTTTGCTGGCTCTCCGAAATAAAATACCTTTCCTTGCTCCAACTCCTTGTCTCTCAACGTATTGGCTGTCATGCAGCAAGCAGAATGAATTTGGACTCAGTTACAGGCTGTCAATGGTCTGCTCTGTAGCAGTCTCAGAGCCTCCCGACCTGGAGATGGCCAGATAGCCAGATCCCCTGCTCCTGGCCACCTAAAGCCCCTGCATGTGACACAGGTTAACTAAAGTCAAGACTGGGGCTGCTGCATTCCAGGGTCCCTAGACTCAAGCTGGTCCTCAGCCGGGTGTGGTGGCTCACACCTGTAATCCCAGCACTTTGTGAGGCTGAGGCAGGTGGATCACCTGAGTTAGGAGTTTGAGATCAGCCTGGCCAACATAATGAAACTGTCTCTACTAAAAATACAAAAAATTAGCTGGGTGTGGTGGCACTTGCCTGTATCCCAGCTACTCAGGAAGCTGAGACACAAGAATCACTTGAACCTGGGAGGCAGAGGTTGCAGTATGCTCAGATAGCGCCACCGCTCTCCAGCCTGGGTGACAGCAGAGCGACACTCCGTCTCAAAAAAAAAAAAAAAAAGGCTGATCCTCATGGCTATAGAGTTGGCGTTTTAGCCCTGGCTTCTGTAGCTCTGAAAGCCTAAAGAAGGTGTTCTCTCCATCTGTTAAACACAGTACAGCGGCTCTCAGCCCTTGGGGCATGTTATCATGGGAAGGAAGTAAAATAAGAGGAGAGAAAAGAACTCAAGGGGGAACTGCATTTTAGGCTTTGCTCTCTTACCTTGCCCTTTCTGCTCAGAACCAATAACTTCTGCATCAAAACATGTTACAGCCTGCATCAAGTGCTTTACCCCAACCTGTGGCCCAGCTTTCCCTGAGCGAGCTTGCTATGCGCAGCCACATTTACCATGAGGGGCTCCCTATTCTGATGGCCTGTTTGGTGCCGAGTTTATTCACTGGCCTGTTCTGGTGTCAGTGCCTATACATACCTCCAAAGGCAGGACTTGCCTGATAAATATTTTTCCTCCTCTGAACTGGATTTTATAGGCATTAAAGACAAGTCGGGTGGCTCAAGGGCTCCTTGAGACATACCTAGCAGGGAACTGCAGGTGGATTCTGTTGAGCGGCAAAGCGCCTGAGTGGTTGGGACACAGGCAGCTGGCATGGAAGGGATGTTTTTTTGAGAAAAGGACTCACTGTGTCGCCCAGGGCAAGGATGCCCAAATACACCAGGTTGGGGAGGCACCTACTAACCACTTGCTTTCCCTGGAGCCTGCATGTGTCTGTGGGGCGGGGAGGCCTAGGGTTCTATGGCTGCCTGGGATGGGTGTGCATAGTGTGTGAAGTACCTACCACCTTGCCTTGCTGGACTGTCAGTCAGTCGCAGGGCTGGCCACAAGACCCATGTCTCCATCTGGTCACACTCCATAGCTACCCAGTTAACCTGCTCTAAACTTTGGAGAACTCCAGGATCTGTCCAAGAAACGCTTATCTGGCCAAGCATGATGGCTCGTGCCTGTACTCCCAGCACTTTGGGAGACCAAGGTGGGAGGGTTGCTTGAGCCCAGGGGTTTGAGACCAGCTTGGGCAACAATAACAACAAAAATGCCAGGTGTAGTGGGGCGCACCTGTAGTCCCAGCTACTAGGGAGGCTGAGGCAGAAGGATCACTTGAGCCTGGGAGGTTGGGCTGCAGTAGGTCATAATCATCATAATCATACCACTGTACTCCAGCCTGGGCGACAGAGTGAGACCCTGTCTCCAAAAAAAAAAAAAAGAACAGAAAAAGATAATGCTTACATTGTCAGGGATCCTATAGACAATCATCATTAACTCTATGAGATGCTTGGTTCTATTTTTTGGGAGACTCGGTCTAAGTGTTTTGGCTTGAGAAATCTGTAGGCTTCTCTTGGTGACACATCTCTAGTACTTTTTGTCATAAACAAACAGGCCGTCTGCCGCCAAATACCTCCACTCCCCATGCCACTGACATCCCATGGGTCAGCCAGGCTTGCTTTGACTGAGGGCGAGGCATCTGGAACTTTCTCTACCTGCAGGGGCTAGCAGCAGAGGCCTCTCTGCATCACCACCCCTTCCTCCACTCCTGACATTCTTTCCCTTCAGGGATCTAACATGGTTGGCCGAGCTCCCAGTGGGGAAACATGTGCTAGAGTTAGGGAGTGGGACAAGTGGTGCCGTCCATGGAATCAGGTCACAACAGGAACTGGCCATTTGAGACACACAGAGGTGGTAGATGCTTTGCTGGTGGGCTGTGCTTCCCTCATCCAGAGAGCTCTGTTACAGCCCATTGTGTCCTTCAGAAGCTTGAAAGGAACCCAAATCTTTGCTGCGCTGTCCTTTTTCTTCCTCTAATTCAGACCCTCCTTCCACCAGCACCCCTCTACCTCCACCCTCAGCTCTTCCTTGCCTGGTTTATGAAGCAGGGCTGAGGCCCCACGTTTCCAACTCTTGATTGTCACTCGCATCCTCACAAAGGATAAACCACGGAGCAACTGGAAAACCATCAGCCAAGCGTTCGGATGAGTCTGGTTATTGGTCCACCTCCGACCAGATTCCCTTACACTTAACTCACTTCTTTCTTTGGCAATGACCCTCATGACATGTATAAAAGGGTATGACTAAGAAGAGGCTGTGATCTAACATTTATTTGCTGCTATTTTTTACTCTGACTGGGGTGAGCTCTAGATTTTAATTCCAAATGTTCTTCAGAAGCAGCCCCAGGTCATCACTGGGAAAGAACTGCCCCTGCAAACCAGCTAAATTTGAGAGTTTAAATTCCCTGCCCCCAAAACTTCTCACAGAGCTGGGGAGTTGGTGGCAACTTTCCAAGTCAAGGTCTTGCTTAGAAAGTCCTTCACTGCATGACCAGGTGCAGTGGCTCACGCCTGTAGTCCCAGGTAGTTGGCAGCCTGAGGCAGGAGGATCGCTTGAGCTCAGGAGTTCAAGGCTGCACAGAGCCACAATCATCCCACTGCATTTGTTTAAAAATAAATTTTTAAAATTTGTGTGTTTCATCAGGGGTCTCCTGTATCTGTGTATGTTTGTTTGTGTGTGTTTGTATACAGCCTTGTCCAATGTTTTTAGCAATAATATATGCACACACAGGTATTTTGTTGCTAAAGAGATTGGACAAGGTTGTAGCTGTGCTCAGGCTTCAGCTTGGTTTGTTAAATTAAGAGAGAGAGAAACAATGACAAGAGCTGCTGGCCAACCACACTATTCAAAAAGCAAAGTGTCCACCACTAAAGCTGACCATTCATCTGGTTGCAGGCAAGGCTAAGGCTCTCTCTCCTCTAGTTCCCGGAATAGACTCACAGGTTGGCATAAAGCACTGATTAGGGGCTGCACTCAGACTCCCTGGCCATGCGAACCTACACCAGAAGAGTCAGTGTCACAGATACGATGCGGCCAATCTCTGTCTCCAAAAACCTACCTGAATTTAGTGATACAATTAGAAAGATCTGGAAACTGAGGGCACCCAGCCTTTTAAAACACAATGTATTCACGTGTTTAGTGTAAACTGTCTGCATGGATTCTCGGTGTTAATAATAAAAGGAAGCACTCTTTTACAACTCCTGCTGTGTGCAAAATAAAGTGCAAAGGATTTGGGGTGGCATTCTGAAGACCACCACACATACCTTGGTTCTGATGGCTGCTGGACTCCAACTTCTTCACTGAGACATGATCTTGGGAACAGCCTCCAGCCATCTGCTCATCAGAGGTGCTTTCTTTAACCTCCTGCACCACCTCCAAGAGAAACAGCCTAAAAAGAAACCCCAGCTGTTTACTTACATTGGGCCCGTAAATCCCTGGAAGTAAACCCCGTGCATTTTTGTCTACTGTCTGAGGACACAATAAATCTGAGAAGGTCTATGCTGTCACATTTCTGGATGCTTTGCATTTGAACAACTTTAGCCGCCTCATTGTGTTTTTATTACTTTGTGGTTTTACTCACAAAACATGGTTTAGCGAACCAAAACAAAGAGAGGAAAAATGTGAACACCTCACAGCCAAAATCAATGATGCTAAATTTCAGGCTCCAAACAAGCCAATTTATAAATAAACATGCTGTGTCTGCCAAATCAAGAGGAATGTGTTAAGAGAAGACAATGTAAACTGATGGAGAAGGTGCTGAGCTGGACAGGGAGTGGGAAGGTGGGAGCTTGGCCTCAGCGCTGCCCCTGAGTAGCTGGGTGATGTGGGCCAAGTCACTGGACTTCTCTGGGATGGCTTCCACCCCTGTGAAATAGGAGGTACTAGACTAATTGGTCTAAGGTGGGACCTAAGCAATCAGCTGTCTGGTTCTTTTTCAGGTCACACAGCAACTTAGACCAAAGCATGTCTTTCTCTTTCATTATCCTGATAGGGGGACCAAATTGTTCTATCGGGGACTCCCCTGGTTCTAACACACAAAGTCCTGCATCCCAGGAAGCTCCTCAATCCTGGGCACACTGGAATGTTGTAGAACCAAACCGGGTGTTCTCACCTGGTGCAATAACACCAGATGTCCACACTGAAACTTTGCAACAATAAAGGAAGGCATTTGTTTGCAGGACTCCAAGCAAGGAGAATTGGGTGGCTTATGCTTAAGATATGAACTCTTGATGGCTTGTAAGGAATTTTTCTTTTCTTTTTTTTTTTTTTTTTTAAGAGTGTCTCACTTACTCTGTTGCCCAGGCTGGAGTGCAGTGGTACGATCTCAGCTCACTGCAACTTCTGCCTCCTGGGTTCAAGCAATTCTCCAGCCTCAACTTCCTGAGTAGCTGGGACTACAGGCATGTACCACCATGTCCAGCTAATTTTTGTATTTTTAGTAGAGACAGGTATCACTATGTTTACCAGGCTGGTCTCAAACTCCTGGCCTCAAGTGATCTGCCCACCTTGGCCTCCCGAAGTGCTAGGAGTATAGGCATGAGCCGCTGTGCCCAGCAGCAGGTAAAGATTTTAAAAGGCAGGGGTAAATTTCAGGAAAGCAGACATTACAGGCAAAATCATAAATCAATACATGGAAGCTATATGTTGGTTTG